TTTGTGGTGTTATTATTATAGAGCACAATAACAGTAACAATAAGTCCACTGGTGGCATCCTTTACACCACTGCATATGATCCATTCACTGAGTTTGGTGAGGCTTGCATGCAGCTGCTAGCTTGTTGCTGTGTAGCAACTGACTCTGCAGAAAGTTTGTGCTGACCCCATTCTATGATTTTATATGGGAAACTTCATCATGGCTAAGTTGCTGTCATTTCCAGAATCTTCCACTTTGTAATAACACCACTAACAGCTGACTGTGGAATATTTAGTAGAGAGGAAGTTTTACACTCCTGTCACTATGGAAGTGATTGGAACACTTGGATTCAATGACTTGGATGAATACTTGGAGCTGTGCAGTTCACTTCTAAAACACTGTTATACCTCTGCAGTCCTACAATTTTAATAATGAAACAACAGTGCCATCATGAGGACAGAATCAAACATTGCGCTGAATAATTTTGAAGAAAGAACAGAGGTGAGATGAGGAAACAATAAATATCATGCAAACACTTCCACCACAAGAGCAAAATTACATGTCCTGTTATTCAGAAATAAAAACTATTCATTCTCAAACACACATTTCCTGTTCTCAAGCATCTCAATGCACTTTGTTTATTCTTTGTTTTCTGCGTTCAGAAAATGTGTATTAGGTAGCCACAGCCAAATAAGTCAAATTTTCCATCTCACACTTCAAAAGTGTATGAGACAGAACCTGTCCACTGAAAAGGCCAGGAATGAAGAGCCCCTCTGGAGGGCAGGAGTCCAGTGGTGAGTTAACAGGGCTGAAAGACGGGAGACAGAGTCCCTAACCAGCAGTCAGATGCAGTGATCCAGCGCCAAAACACTGGGGCGGCTCAGGTCGTCCCTGGCCTCCTAAGTCCTGTTGAAGCCTGAGGCTGGGCAGAGACGGACCTGCTGGTGTGTTTCAGATCAGTGTTCTGCTGCACAATCCAAGCATGTTTCAGCTTGGTACAAACAGATGATGGGACATTTTCCTTCAGGATTAAAAAAAACCCCCATTGTTCATAAATTTCGAAAATAAAATAATAAAAATAGAACAAACAAAAACACACACTGGTATCTCATTTCTGTCTTTATTTTTCTTTTTTACATTTGTCAGAAGGTTAACAAACACTCCAGGTTTGGGTTATCTTTGTTCAATATTAAAATTAGTTTAAAATACATGTGTGACAAAAGTCAAGAAGTCATCAGAGTCACAAATTCATGAGCTTCAAGTTCAGCAGAAACCAAAACCATTCAGCTCTGTAAAAAAAAAATTTCTGTGTCAGCTGCTGCTGGTTGGTTTCAAGGTGAGAAAAAAGCCTTCGACATCAAACAGACACCTTTACTGTACTGAAGCTGCTCTAACCAAAGCATGATGATCCTGTTTTTTTCTGTTTGCAGCTCGTTGGTTTTCGCTGTATTCTGCAGACAGGTGGGTGTCGGTTAGCCACAGCAAAACAGCAACAAATCAAAATTTCCACAGGACGTATTTTAGAAACCCAGAGACCCACGTGAGAAATGCAAGTGAGAGCGAAAATTTGTTGATGTTGCAGAAATCCAGGAAACACAAAAAAGTTTCGTTTGGTGATTTTTAGCTTTTTCAACCAAGATGAAAATACTTATAAAAATCTCTGTAACATGTGGATGTCCTCTAGTCTGAGGTGCTGGGATGAACCAGTTAGAGACCAGTAGCTGGACGTTAGTGGTTGGACTGGTGGACTACTTCAGTGAACAGTAGACGACGTCTGGCTCTGGTTTAAAGTCTGAACACAAACATACACAGTTCAAACAACAGGAAACATGATTGCAAGCTTTGTAGTTTAATCAAGACCTCCAGTCTCCACCTCTCTGCATCACAAACATTCCCAGTTCAGACTGATTAAGTGTGAACTGGGATGCGGTTTGAGGTTGAGCCAGGATGTGGTTAGCTTAGCATGGCAACAGGATGAGCAGCTAGCTTGTTTCTGTCCTAAGTTAAAGATAAAGAGCAGCTGTACCTGGGACTCTTTGTTCTGATGGCTGTCCGGCCATAACTGACGTCTTCAGTTCTCCCTCCTGGGTAGACTACAACCGAATCTGTCTCTGTAGAATGAAACACATCTAAATTGCTGCACGCACAACAACTGCATTGCTTTTGTGTTATTGCACTAAAGCTATTGCAAAACATTCTTCTTTTTTGTAAAGTGGCACAGTAAAGAGATTAAGCGATAACAACTATAACAACTACAGTTGTACACATGGGAGGTTTCTTTGACACAGGATGACCACAAAGCTGCCATCCGCCGTAAATGCTGACTGATGTATTTCACCATGGAGCACAAAGCAAACATCACAGCATTAAGGCTGCTATTCAGCCTTAGTTACAATCAGGTACAGAGAAGGCTCATGTTAATTAGAATCTTCAGCAAGATTAATGTGTTCAACATGTCAGAGAGTCATGGAAACTACTACATTATTAACTTTATAAAAGTATGAATGTGAATTTAAGTGTAGATCAAAGGTGGGAAGTATTGAAGTACAAATACTTCCATTTTGCTACTTTATTTGAATTTTCAGGTATCTGTACTTTACTTGAGTAGTTCTTTTTTCTGACAACATTTTACTTTCACTCTCTACATTTTTAAACAAATATCTGTACTTTCCACTCTTTACATTTTTGAAACAGACTCATTACTTTTGGTTTCAAACATTTCCAATCGCTGTGCACCTTCAAACATCAAAATGATTTGAGCCTAAAAACAATAGTATTTTGGTATGTGGTATAAAATATAAGAAATAGGCAAAACTGTGTGTCATAGTTAAAGATGGTGTTTTTCTTTTTTTTTCTGCACAGCACTAAAACGAATGCTAATGTTCATAGATTCTGGTTGCTTTAGTATCTAGCTAGCCCTCGAAAAGGGGAATGAGCATAAAGGGAGTAACGTTGTTTCAGAAGCAGGTAATTTCAAATGCAACATGTCTATCAACTTAATAAACATCAGCAAACACACAAACTGTTTGTGTGCAGTTTGTCTCACAGTGTGTTGCTAGCTAAAGGTCCGGCTTTGGGACCATTAGCAGCTCACAGGGACTGAAAAGAAAGAGAGCTAACTTCACTCAGAGATGGAGAAAGATGAGAATAGAGGAAAGGAGAGGAAGAAGAGAGCTTAGAGTTAAAAATATGTGTTATGCTTTATTCAAAAACTTCCTTGAAAACAATCTGCAGTTTAGGTTTGTCACACTGTGATGGATTTAGTGTCTGACTGCTGCACAGTGGCTGTGATTTCATGGTCAGAGTTAGCTTACATCAAATGTAGCAGAGATCAATTTGAAACTAAGCTGATGACACTGACATTCATTTACTAAATTTCACCTTCACACTAACTTTATTCAGTCTAGTATAAGGACAGTGTGTACACAGTGTACTGTAAGTGTATTGGACGGAAATCAGTCAAGATAGCATTTGAAACATCTGCTCACAACTTGTTGAATTCAATTTACAGAGAACAGGAAACCTCAGGGCAGCAGATCATAGCCTACTGATGGGATTTTCCCCACCCCGAACCACCGTGTGAGGTTCAGTGTACAGATATTTTCTACTTAGATAAAAAATATCTGTACTTTTGCCACCTCTGGTATTGAAACAGAGACAGGACAGATTTTTTTTCAGATAAACCATGAGCAGCTCTGTGTTGAAACAGCTGCAGCTGAAGTGTTTTCTTTCTATCAGAAACAGGATGCTGGACGACTGCAGAGCTGTTAGCTTCAGTTAACCACTGTTAAAAACATGATTGAGAAAATGTTCTCGTACCCATTTCATACCAAACTATACTCATAATGCACAAAAAGTCACACATTTGCAGCTCCAATAAATTCTTCACTCATATTTTCTGTAAATATCCCCAAACTGTAAAGTTACACAGAAACACTCTTAGAAGAAAATCCGACAACTCAGCAGAAATTTTGAAAACATGCTCCTCGACATAATATTACCTCTCTGTTGTCTGATTGGCTGCTGCTGCTGATTTGATATCTTGATGGCGTCGTACATGACATGAGTGATGATTTCATCTTCTAAAACATCTTTATGATATTCTGAAATTTTCAAAAATGAAAAATAATCTAAATTAAATATTTAAACAGAGATTAAACTTAAATTCTTACTGTGGTCATAATAAATGTGAACTTATTCTACTAAACCAGTGGTTCTTAACCTGGGTTCGATCAAACCCTAGGGGTTCGGTGAGTCAGTCTCAGGGGTTCGGCAGAGCCTCCGCCTTGACATGCATGGCTCATTCTGTGCACCAATAAAAAAAACATATCTATGTCTTGAAATTGAAAAAATAAATCATATTTTATTTTTCACTAAAGAGGGGTTCAGTGAATGCACATGTGAAACTGGTGGGGTTCGGTACCTCCAGCAAGGTTAAGAACCACTGTACTAAACAAACTCAGACATGAAAAATCAGGAAGTCTGAGTCTCACCTTCAGGTTTCCTGTGAACACATCGTCTCACCAGGAGAACCAGTAACACCAGTGGAACCACAACACACACTGATCCAACACATGATAACGCAGAGAGAACAAAAGGTGAGGTGGATGTAGGTGGAGGCGTGGATGTAGGTGGAGGTGTGGTGGTGTGTTCCCCTAAAATAAAGCAAACACTGTCATTAAGTTGTCGTCACATTGTGAATGTTGAAAGCTGCAGAAACACAGACAGGTGAGTGTGTCACCTGTGACAGTGATCCAGCTGGATGGAGACTCTCCATGACCGCTGATGTCACACTTGTAGAGGCCTTCATCAGACCTGGAAACATGCTGGATGGTCATGTGACCTGTAGGCTGCTTCCTGATGAGGGAGCCATCTTTATAGAAAGCAGCTGGGAGGTTGGAGGGAGTGGTCTTTGTTTTACAGAGCAGAGTGACGTCATCTCCCTCCATCACAGGGAGGACAGGACTCTGCAGGATCACTGATCCACCTCAACACAGAGACAAACTACAGCATTTCATCCATTTACACACAGCTTCATCAACACTAACTCCACACACTCAGCTTACCAGTGACTGTCAGGTTAACCATGTTACTGATGGGACCCTCTCTGGACTCACACCAGTAAACTCCACTGTCTCACATGGTAGCTTGAGTTACAGGAAGAACCAACTGTTTTTCCCCATCCATCTCCACACTGAGCTGTGTTTCCTTTGCTTGTGTTTCTCCTCAGAGTCCATCCAGCAGAGCTGTCGTCCTCCTCACAGCTCAGAGACACAAAGTCTCCTTCAAAGAACTGAGAGCTGCTGGGACTCACAGTCAGACGAGCTGTGAGGGTTACAATGAAAAATTGATGACCGGTTAGACTTTTGTCAAAAACAACAGAATGACGTAAAAGGTGTTTTGTTAAATAAATAATTTCATTCATATGTGAAACTGATGATCTGTTAGACTTTACATTGTGAACCATGAACCCAATCAGGTCATATCAGTGAGCATTTCTCAGGTTTAAACTGTGACAGAAGAAGGTTACTGACCTTGGTTTGTTGTGCAGCTCAGCAGTGAGATCAGAACTAAAGAGAAATGACACTCAGGTTGATTTGAGGTGAACATAAAGAACAACTCCACACAAACAGCTGACAAACACACAAACTATCTTCTCTGATGTATCTGCTCATTTTCTATTTGATGCCAGCAACATATTTCAATAAAGTTTGGACAACAAGCGACTGAAAAAGTAAATCCCACAAAGTCATGTGTCCACTGTGCAGCTGTGTTGATATAATGAGTGAATGATTTGATCTTTTCACTGCCTGCTGTGTTTCCTCGACTCCTGAGCAAAGATAAAGAGTCAGTTCAGACCTGCAGTTGGTCCTCGTGGTGTTTGAACTTGAATTCAGCCTGATTTGTTTTTCATGTCTTCTCCTCCATCATCAGTTATCAGGAGAGCAGACAGTCAAAGTACAAGAATTCAAACAAACACAGAGATTCTACTTACAGAGCAGACACAGCACAGATGTTTCCTTCATCGTCCTTCTCACTCATTTGAGCTTTTTTTCATTTCTCTCACTGACACCAAGTAAAGCCCGCCCTCTTCCTCTGAGCACCAGCTTTCTATTGGTTGAAATACAGGCATGGTGGAGGACTGACTATTCTTCATGGAAGGACACAATTTATCCAATTATCCAAAACAAATTTAACTATTAACAAAAAGCCTTTTTTTTCCAATTTTTTATCTTTTTTGTTTTTGTTCTTTTTAAAAAATCTTAAGCCAAAAACTTGTTCCTGAAAGCTTTAAATTGAAAGCTAAGATACAAACCAAACCAGGGAGTGCAGTAATGTGTTACACGTTACATGAAGGCTGCTGTCTGACTGCTCATCATGGTATCATTCGTATGCTGAGACATCAGTGCCAAAGAAACAATGTTCCTGCCTGATCTTAAAATCTAGTTTTCAGTGACTAAACCTAAATAAGTGGGTTTAGATCAGATCTTTGCCCACAAGCAAAAATGGAAAGATTACACGATGCATGTGTTTGATGAACTGCAGTGGCTCTGTTCTTTCACTGCAATCACGTGTAAAAGAACAGAGTCACCCCCTGCTGGTCATTAGAAAGAATCCAGGTTTAACATTAATAGGTTTAGCTTCTCCTTCCAAACCTGTGTTAAACACACAGGCCTATGTGTAATTCAGGTTAAAAAAATGCAGAAATTTTAAAACATAAGTACTGAACATATAAGTCTACTATAATAAATAGCAACAGAGGAGAAAAAAGAAAAAAGGCCTCAAAGAGTTCAGGGTGGTATCGACGATACTGATTCGATACGATGTATTTTATTCATTGTATCTTTTATTTTGTCTCAAATTATAGCATCATAATGATTACAGGACATCAGATTACTTGTTCTTATCACTTAATGCAGAATTATCATAAAGTAATAAAAAACTGAAGCTATGTGCCATTTGAACATCTTGGCTGACGTCTGTCTCGCCCAGCAGCAGCTGGCCCTGTCCTCTCCTCCTCTTTAGAGGAAAAATATGTCCACTCCATTTACGCTCAACCATTGTTGTGAGTGTGCACGCCAACGGGCTGCGACACATTTATACAGCCGTATTTCACACATGATTATGAAAGGTGTAAGAGGAAGTAGTTCCCTCCAGGG